CCTACCAACAAACTTTTCAATAAACATTGAACCATCTCCAAAAGCAGCGTATGCCTCATTGCTGGCTAAGTTAAAGAACTCTTCCACATCTTCCATCTTATGGATTACTCTCATGCCACGGCCACCTCCGCCATATGCTGCCTTGGTTATGACAGGCAACCCATACTGCTCACAGAAGGCTTTGGCCTCTTCCACAGTTTTGATTGGGTTCTCTGTGCCAGGAACCACAGGCACACCTGCATCGACTGCTACTTGCCGAGCTTCCACCTTATCCCCCATCATTTTGACAATTGAGGGGGAGGGGCCAATGAAAATGATGCCGTTTTTGACACAAGCTTCAGCAAAGTTGGCTCTCTCTGAGAGAAATCCATATCCTGGGTGAATTGCATCAGCCTCTGTTTCCTGGAATATAATTTAAAAGACAATGAGTATTTACCTCACCCTCAATGTACACATGTAGCTCTGCTATTCATGGTTTTTAAACACATTTTTAACCGAGAAAAAAAATTCTCCTCTCAAAATCTTTACAATATCTAGCAGAGAAGTAATGAGAGAAAAAACTGTCAGTTGAGGGATTATTGGTTGATCCAATACCATATTCTCCAAATCAAAATCAGAAGAATTGTATGGCGGAAAGTAAAGAAAATTGCTAATGAGATCTTTGGAGCAAAAGGAATAAAACCAAACCTAAACACCTAACTCATTCATTTACCTTTGCAATTTTGATGATTTCTGGAATATTTAAATAAGCTGCAACAGGAGGCATGCCTTTGCCAATGAGATATGCTTCATCAGCCTTTTGTCTGTGCATGAGATTAGCATCTTGTTCTGAATAAATAGCAACAGTCCTAATACCAGCCTCAGTAGCTGCACGAAAGACTCTGATAGCAATCTCACCACGATTAGCAACCAGAATTTTCTTTATTTCACTTCTACGAGGCTCAGGTTTGTTAGTCTGAAACAATTTATTTCCTGCGTGGAGATACCGACATGTTGACCATAATCCACTGCTACTTGTAAACTGTTGTTGAATAATTTTCTTGAAACGTGGTGTTTGAACTCGCAACATTTTCCTGGCAGTATTTCAATCACTCCCTTGATGCTGGTGTAGTGATTATTTATCTAAACCTGTTCCTCCCTGAAAATTCAAAGTAATCACAAAGTAAGCCAAATTAAATATAACAACAACAATAATAACAATAATAATGGAGGATTTCTATTGCATCGTATTCACTAACTCATGGCATTTTACAACATTTTGCAAGTGACTTAAGCCAGATTACATTGAGAAGTTAACAATTTTTGAAGGTATTTTTTGCAGATGCCCCAATTTTAGAATCAAGGCCAGACCACTATGGCTGGAGCAATGTTCCCCTATCTTTGCAGGATGTGCATAGGTTCTTCAATGCCCCCTGCTCTCCAATACAGAGAAGATAGGAGATGGAGCCTACAGTTTATCAACCTCATACTAGAAAACAAGAACCTCTAACAATTTCCAGATGTTAGATCAAAAGCAGTATATTCTTCTCAGCTATTTTAAGACTCTGAACATTGGTCCAGCTATAGAAAATTAATAAATCATGAGCGACAGAACAGCTAACCAAACACATAGACATCATTTGCGATCAAGTGAAACTGATAATAACTTTTCATCACTCTTAGTTAAACATGATTTCCCATATAAGCTTTTTTACTGTCAACCTGTACTCAAGTCATGAACTCATTCTTCAACCTAACCTGTCAAATTATTTCAATCATTTTACATGAAACAAATAAAAACATTCAGTAGAATCCAGATTTCTGATACCTTCCGTTTCTTCAAACTTCAAATAACTCACACCAAAACTGCTTCCCTCTTTTAATCAAACAAATGAATGTTATTTCACTTTATTATTTTCACCACTTCTGACAGCCAATTTCCTTTCCCTTGGGAGTTAAACAAGAGTGGTTTTTACTCATGTCAAACATACCCATATTGGACATCATACAAAAAATCACGTAAAGTTATTTTTACTGTTTAGGAAAGGACAATTATTGAATGGCATACCAAAGTAATGATATTCAAAATTAGTAATTCAATATCAACAAAAACATCCAAACAAAGTATGATAGGTAACACACTGTACAAATCAAGTGTATTCTCTTAATTAGGGAGTTAGATCTTTCCTGTTCACTTGTGATGCAATATGACACCTAATTAGTTTATCATATTGGAAAGATCTCAAAAGCTTGTTCATGTTATTTCAGGATCAGAAGATGTGAATGGTTGTGACTAGGCCGGTTATGAAGGATGACAAAAATAATGGCATTTTGTGAATAAAAGAATTGCTTCATATTTAACCACTTCAAACTACAAAAAAACATATATTCCTTTTAACAGATGACAGACTTGCTTCCCACAGTCAAAGAATGTGTGAGATTTCAACATATTTTCTGCAGACCATGCCTGATTTCGCAAGACACTGACTGTAATTGTTGTCAAACCCTTTGTTCAGTTCATTTGATTTTCATGACAGTTAGTGTCATCCGCAGCATATACGTAATATTTTCATTCTCTTAACTTTTTCGAATCAAGATCCAGTTTGTCTAATTTTCAGTCTCAATCGGTTTAATTCAATGAGAAAAAATCTGGGCTTTATTACCTCACCTTTAGGTAGATTTCCGATGGGCATGGATGTCTTGGTGACCAACCGCAAACTATCAATAACAGTTCTCTTAAAGAAGATTTCTCTCCATGAAACAACGTCCCAAATTTTTAAACATCTAATTGACTTTCAGCTCATTATTTATTAATCGTGTTCTTCAGTAATGTTATTTCATCGCGGCTAGATATCATTGATGTCACTTAGATGAGGATCGAACGCTTAGAGGATTTCTCATCTCTGTCTAGACAAGCTATACTTGGTAAAACACATTTTATAAAAAAAAAATGAATTGTTAAAACAACTCGAGGAGTACAGCTATATGATCTGCCACGAACAAAAACAAGAGTGATTGTTAACAAATCTTAATTAAAAATGAACGAAGTTAGAAATCAAAACAAATCGTAGGGTTTGTTCTACGATAATAATTAAAATATCATCTCAGGAATTGCTTCGATTCCTGCATGAGTACACGTTTCAACTCGTGCTTCGAGGCCAAGGGTCAAAACATTAACAGCTTGTTTCTTCTCTAAAAACGTATCGTTAATTACTAACCTGTGGGATCGAATTCCTACTGAGAAAATCTTTGATCAAAAGGAGATCATCCTCTGTCCGAGAAACGCGATCAAGAAATATTAACTAAGAAACTAAAGAATTAGTACTCGCTATTTGCCTGTTTCTTTTCTGCACACTCACGTCACACTTGACTTCCAGCGAGGGAGGTACAACCAGAAGAGTACAAACAAAAAATTAACGAATGTATTGCACGGAAGGGAAGAGAGCAATTTAAATTTAAAACCTAGAAATATAGAGCTCACTAGGATTGTTTACCTTCAGGATGAAGCCCCAAAACATAGCCACTCCATCAATGACTAACAGAAATACTCTGACGAAAGTAATGTGTGATTATTCGAGTCAGTCACGCCTGCGCCCGCAATCAATCAGCAGGTCGAAAAGTACCTTTTTTTTCGTCTAATAAAAGTCACATGTAAAGTTAGACAGGACGGTTTATCGACCATGTGCGTATCACAAAGGTCCCTAAATCTACCTTGGACTTCACTGTGAGATATCAAATCAAATCTTTTTAATACATCTTGAGGTTCCCATGCTTCACTGGCTTAAACCAAAAGAAGAAAATTAGGGATTGTTAGTTATTCAGACGGTATTTCTTTGTAGTGTCCTTGAGGGATCATTCAGAATCCAAACGGGTAACACCGTAGCCTGAAAGTCATAAGATAATCTTGTGATGTTGAGAATGGGTTATGCTAAAACAAAAAAGAAATAGAAAAGAAAAAAAACACGGATACTTTTGAAATTATTTGAATGATAAAATTCAAGCTAGGATCCATCCCCTTGAATTCTGAAAGTTTTGAGATAGAGTAAGACAACAGGGCAACCAAGTATCAAAAAAGTATCATTTTCTGTCCGAAGTCCATAACTGTTTGTTTATTTTTCAACGTGATGTTGATTAACGCCAAAAAAATCTCGCTCATGATTTAATCACTTACTATAATCTGGCTGTTTCTATATCTATTTATATTTATCTTCTCCTAATCATCCTCTTACTTATTTTTTTTTTCATTATTATTATTATTATTATTATTATTTTTATAAATGTTGATTCGTTTATTTGTTTGTTTTACTCATCCGAATAGGCTGGTAGTCCTGAGCTAGAACCCAATCCCTCTAGACCAAATACTTGCAACATGGCGTTCTTAGTTAGACCTCAGTTGTGATCATTCGATTCACAACATTTCAGCATCTGTTCCATGTAGTTGCGATAACATATTACAGGTAGATGCAGTTAAAAGTCTGAGCCATGACGGAAGACTCAAAATTTTCCATTGTTTCGCCGAAGTCGGTGAAATTGTACGCGGAAATTTTCGGCGTTCAGACTTTGACAGACGATCTTGCCAGTTCCTTGGCTGAAGATGTGACCTACAGACTTCGCGAAACGCTGCAGGTTTAAATGAACACGCTTACTTCTTCCATTAACTCGTTTATTATTATGATCGTAAAGGTAGTATCAGTTTAATCAGCTGAACATTTTATTTAAATTTCACAGAGTGCCTCACAGTTTATGAAGCATGCTAAGCGGAGAAGGCTCTCAAGCGAAGACTTCAACAAAGCATTA